TTGGCATAGTTTGTGCCACAGAATAAGGTCTGAATAAATGTAGCTGTTATTATCATTATCCTGCTGTTTCTAATGTCCTGCATTTTCATCCTCATTACACTGTGGACAAGAGCTGTATTGCTTAAGTAGAGACAAGTTTTCAAATCATGATTGTCACAGCAAGGAGAGTCTGCTTGCTTCTGTGCTTTCTCTGGAAAATGAGATACTTGGGGTGGTATCTTCTGCTCCCGTGGGTTTGGATTGTAAGGTTTGTGCTTTCTGCTGGTCTGGGCACATTTGCGGGTCTGGGTCTTCGACTACTTATGCGTTGGCAGGGTGGTATTCTGACTGGTTTGGGGAATGAGAGCCAAGGAGCAGTGGGCTATTTTTATCTGGTTGGGAATTTGGCCATGGAACAGAGGAAATCCAGGCTGGGGTGGGGCCAGGCTTTTTTACTGGTAAACCGTAACAATAGGAGGAGAGTGTCACAGCTGGGATGTCTGAACAGAGAAGGAGAAGAAAGATAGACAAAGGGGAGCTCCAGTGGCCTCAAGGTCTTGCTGGCCCTGTTTAGGCTACATTGTAGAGTTAACCAAATGGCTTCTGTCCAAATGTCTCCCATCAATTCTCTTATACATATTTGAAAATGGTGCTTCATGACCAGTCAGTGAACTGTGGTTTTAGAGAATATGCATGCATGCATTCATTACATACCAAAAAGCAGTGTAATGGAATGGTCAAGGACAGGGCTCTGAAACTAGACTGCTTGTGTTTGAATCTTTGCTCTGAAACTTATCCACTATTTTAGCTTACTTTTCTGTGTCTCAGTTTTCTCATCTGAAAAAATGCAGATAATAACACAAACCCCATAGGCTTGACATCAACATTCAGTAAGTTAATAAATGAGAAGCATTCAAAACAATGCCTGGAATACAGTGACCAATCCACAAGTGTTTATTATTGCCTTTAAATTAACAAGCAGTTAAATCAACAGTTAAGTCATCAATGCTGACTTTGCCATGCTGGATACAGGACATAAAAAAATGCTATAATATTTAGCACCTGCTCTCAAGGACCTCATATATAGTAGTGTAATGCAAAGAGCTTAGTATGATGAAGCAGAAGATCTGGATTTGAGACCTTGCTCTCCCACCCAGAAATATAAGCTAGTAGGTCATCTGATCCAATACTACCCTTCTTTTACCATCTGATACATGAACTCCCTTACTGCTTGCTAGACTCCGTCTGCATGCCTTCGGAACAAGCGACTTACTCCCTGTTGAGGTAAGTCATGACATGTTATGTGATTACTCTATGCCTCAGTCTTTTCATCTGTTAAAATGAGGAGATATAATAGGGACATCAGAGGATTGCTGTGAATATCAAAAGCAAGAATGGTTGTTAATCTGTTAAACATCCTCAGACTTCAGTATGCTGTTCAATGGTGTCAGAAAAAGTTATTTCAGAGTAGATATGGGATTAATAGTCTTTCAAAGAGGCAGGAGAAGATTCTGCCTCTATTTTTTGTGATGCATATGTACAAGGGGACGGATGGCTTTGAACTAATGACCAAAAGCTGAGAAGAGGGGCAGAAGGCAGAGCTTGCATTCTGTAGGGAAAAGAGGATTATTTCAAGCATGTTGGATTGCGAACAGAATGGGGACAATTGAGGCTGTGTTGCCACCTCCCACTTCCCACAAATATGCACCTTTACTGACTGCTGGGCTGTAGCAAGGGGAGGTGTGGCAACTGGAAAGTCACTGGGTTAGGGAATGTAGCCACAGTGAACCTTTTTGGGCATTTCTGGCTCTTATAATTGGTGTATAAGACAAATCAGAAATGCCTAGGCACACAGTAATGTGTTTTCAGTTGGCAGCTTGAAGGAATGGGAAAGCTCTATGGAGCAGGTCACTCAGGAAGGGTTTGCTGAAGGAAATAGAACTTGTGCTGGTCTTTATGGATAGCAAAGTCTGACTAATGGTGGAGGAGAGGCAGAGGCAGAGGTTGGAGTGTGTTCTTCAGCCAGGACTCCTGGGTAAATACTAGCCTAGAGCAGGTGTGATATTCTGGGTGTTGTAGTGAGAAGGAGGAGTAAGTCTGACCTCCACAGTGCTATTCTCCTTGGCATCAGGAGCAGCAAGATCAGACCAGGTTTTCTGCTTTGGCTTAGATAAGTGTGAGCATGCAGTATTGGTTAGGAGACTTCTCAAATTTTAGAATCCCAGAAATGGAAGCACTTCTAAATGATTTGGTTCATTTCCCAACCTCCATTCAGGACTGCACTTAACCCTTCCCAGACAAATGAAAATCTCTCCTGTTTTTAAAGCTCTGTAAAGAGAAATATTATGCAACCTCCTTTAGCTGACTGTTTTACTGCTTAATAGTTCATGGATAGGAAGTTCTTCCTCTTGTCTTAGCCTATCTTGTATTATAATCCTTGTATTATATCCTTGTCTTAGTGCCCATAGCAGACAATATACTTTTTCAGGAATGGGACTGAATACTTATTTTTCTTTATACAAAGTCCTGCATAAATGTCAATCAAATCTGTTAATTTTGCCCCAAGAACAGAATCAACATTACAGAATTACAGAGAGACCAATAATCATTCAGAAGAACGAGGAAATTGTGAATGAATTAGACAGAACCCATTGAGAGAGATGCATTCCGTGTTATTCAGAGGGCTCATATGCAGGCATTTGTTTGACAGCTTTTTGTTTTCCTTTCTCCTGCTTATCCTCATTGAGACATTGCCTGTGAAATGGGTTGGTATATAATGTTGTTCTCATATCTTCCAGCTGCTTCTTATTTGTTCCCTTTACTGTGGTGCTTCTTCTCAGCTTCTAGTTTCAGTGCCCTCTACACCCTCCCCAAGCCAGCCTGGAGCTCCACAAAATGGCCTCAAGGTGACCAAATAAGTAATATCCTCTTCAGCATATTCATATCTTTCTCCCAGTCTGACTTTCAGGGTCCCCTAGTACTCATGTTTTAAATAGACTAACCAAGGTGCCAAGAATAAAATAAGCTAGTTCTTCTAAAAAAGGAGCTAGCAAACTTTTTTCTGTAAATAACTATATTGTAAGTATTTTAGGTTTTTTTCATCACTTATATTCTCTATAACATATTCTTTTTTAACAACCATTTAAAAAAAGAGAGATCCTCCTTAGCTTATAGGCTTTTTACAAACAGGCCTCTGGCTGAGTTTTGTCTAAACTTGGTAATTTGCTGATGCTGGTATGAGAGGGTTCTCCCAATCCATTGTTAAACAGCCTTCATTGTCAAGACATTATTTTCAGCATCTAAATATTGTTCCTCATGGTCCAGTTTGAGGCCATTTACCCTTGGTAAAAAATTTCTGTAATTTTTTTTTCAAAGTGCTTATCCCCTGCTGCTCTTGCCCATTTACCAGGATTCTTTACCAACTTCCTTTCCCTCAACAACAGCATACCTTGAGTCCTGTCTCACCTCTAACCCTGTCTCAGTCTGTTTTCAATGCTTATCACAGAATACTCGAGACTGGGTAATTTGTAAGAAATGAAATTTATTTCTTACAGTTCTGGAAAGTAAGAAGCCCAAGATCGAGGGAGTGCAGCTGGTGAAAGTCTTCCTGCTGGTGGGGACTCTCTGAAGAGTCCTGAGATGGCTCAGGGTATCACATGGTGAGGGAACTGAGTATGCTTATGTGCTATGCTGAGATAGCTCTTCCTTTTCTTATAAAATCATCAGGTCCACTCCCATGGTAACCCATTAATTCACAAATAGATTAATTCATTCATGAGGTGAATGGATTAATTAATTCATGAAGGCAGAGTTTCATGAACCAATCACCTCTTAAAGACCCAACCTTTCAATGTTGCCACATTGGGGAATTAAGTTTCAACATGAGTTTTTAGAGAAATTTTAAACCATAGCAACCTCTGAAACCATTTCTGAGAGAACCAAACTATAAGGGATTAGAAGGTGAAACTGCATAGTGAATCTTTAGAATCCCACAGTCTAAGCTTTACTTAAACTGTTACCTTAGTTCTATTAGGCTTGAACCTGTGGGTATTAGTGATCTTGTTCTCTAGACTAAACTTCAAGTCTCCTTGTTATTAGTTCTGCAGGATCTTTCCATGTCTTTCTTTTCCTTCAGGTTCCAGGAATTTGGCTTCTATTCACCCTCTCTCTTTCTAGTTAATTTCTTGCCACCCAGGCTATCAGAGAGACATGACATAGTTTTTCCTCTGTGCTGCCTATCCTTCTTTCTTTTGAAATGACACTGTAAACTCTGCTGACGTTTTTGAAAAGACTGCTCAGAAGTAAGAAAATTCATATATATCAAGAGGCTACTATGTGCTATGTACTGTGTTAGAAACTACACTACCTATTAACTTAGAGAATCATCACCAAAACTCCATTTATTGTCTTAATTTTCTGCATTGTGAAACAGGGACTCAGAGAGACAGAGTGACTTACCTGGAGTCACATAGCTAACAGATGATAAAGTTGCATATTTCCCCCTACTCCTATGTTGTACCCTATGAAAATGCTGTTTTCTGGGTCAATAATGGTCAGATTTTAGCAGTTGCATACGGTTCAACCTAGTAGAATGGCCGCAAGGTTTGGAATGTTTTTTCTGTTTTCTTCACTGTTAAGGTGCCATGGCCTTGACCAGTGCTTGACCTAAAGTAGGGTCACAATACACATTTGTTGAATGAACGAATGAAAAGTTATGTCTTCATTCAAAGCCTACATCCTTTTCCCTATGTTAGCATTTCCCAGACTTCAGCTATTTTTGGACATCTTCAATATTTTCCCATATATATTTTTGAAAATCATCTGCCAGGCATTCGTTATACATCAGTGAATTTTATGCCACCTTTTGGACATTGCTGTTCTTAACATCCTCTTGGAATTGATAACAACAACAAAACAACAAAGATATCAAAGTTCTTAAAAAATCTAGAATGAAGACAGTCCTTAGGGCAAATTGCAAATGAAGACACATCTATTCATAAAAATATAAAAATTCGGACCAGATTATTGAGATGGCCTGTCTGATAACGGACTCAGATCTCAACATTTTGGCTGAAGGTCTTAACTTGATTATAAAACAACCAGACGAGTTGCTGGACAGCATGTCAGATTGGTGTAAGGAACATCATGGGAAGTCTGGTCTTACCAAGGCAGTGAGGGAGAGTACAATTACATTGCAGCAGGCAGAGTATGAATTTCTGTTCTGTTCTTTGTACGACAGCAGACTCCTCCGGGGCTCTGTCCACTTGCAGGAAATTCAGTTCATGCAGATAAGAAGTTTCTTGACAAATACATGCCCCAGTTCATGAAACATCTTCATTATAGAATAATTGATGTGAGCACTGTTAAAGAACTGTGCGGACGCTGGTATCCAGAAGAATATGAATTTGCACCAAAGAAGGCTGCTTCTCACAGGGCACTTGATGACATTAGTGAAAGCATCAAAGAACTTCAGTTTTACCGAGATAAAATCTTCAAGAAAAAAACAGATGAGAAGAAGAGGAAAATTATAGAAAATGGGGAAAATGAGAAGACCGTGAGTTGATGCCAGCTCCCATGCTCCACTCCGTAGCTCTCTGGAGGCAACAGCCTCTGGTGGTTTTGGTTTTGTTTCTCACTGATTGCTTGGCACGGTACCTTCTTTCATTTAACTTGCATCTCCAGATGACTTGGGCAGACAGTGTCTGAAATACTATTTTTCTCCTATTATGCTGTTTCCATTATGACACAGCAGCTCCTCTGTGAGTACCAGGTCATGTCCATCCCTTGGTACATATCTGCATTTGCTTTTAGATCATTTCTTTTGTTTAATTAATAAGTGAGTAAATAATAAATAAATAAATAAATAAATAAATAAATACAGATACATAAATAAAGCTAGTTCTATTGAAATGCAAAAAAAAATTCGGTAAGAAAGGTGAAAGTATATTGTATGTAAACCAAGAGTGTTCCCTTCTTCCTCTCAGTTCAGAAAGGTAGAAACTCTACTCCATACTCCTGCAGCCAAAAACAGATGATTTCCCCTCCTCCAGATCCTGGTGGAGGGCAAGGAACCCTTCCATGATGAGTGGGATGTCAGCATTTCTCATGCCCCCAGATACCTGTTACTGAGGCTAAGTTTCAAGGCAAGTGCTGTTGGGGAATGTCTTTTATGCTGCTCAGCCCCCGCTTGTAGAATAGAGGTTGTACCTTGGGCACAGCATGCTGAGATGACTAAGGTCTTGGTCACCTTGCCTTAGCTTTTGAGGATGTCATTCCACAACAGAAAAGGCAAACAGAAAACCTCAAGCTGCTACCTTCTCTCACAAAGTGATTAGAGTGGAGGTATCACTCAAATAACCTTGCTGTTGTCCCCACCCCCAGCTCCAGATCCCTGGTTCAGACATTATCCCAGGTCATAACCAGAGAGCTTCTGATCTCTTCCAAGAGGAACTGATGTCATTAGCAAGAAAATATGGAGAAGTTCAAAACTGAGGGCATTCTTAAAAACAGTGGAGGTTGTGGTAAAAGACATTTGGAGGAGATTCAAGAGACACGCTAAACTGTAAGCCAGCTAGTTTACAGAAAAGAACTGAAGAATAAGACAGCTGGGAGGAGCTGTATGGTATCAGAAAAAATAACCAATGACCTTAAAAGTTATTCATGAAAGGATCTACAATTTTAATAGATTATTTTTAGAGCAATTTATCCCTTAGGGAATTGGGGAAAGCAATTCATCAATCAACTGTCTGTTAAACATATGAGAAATTTACAGATATGTGGCAATTAAACAAATGAAGAACGGCCCAAATAATAAATCAAAAGGGAAATCAGAGCATGTTTCCATATGAATGAAAATGAATATGGAGACAGTACAATTCCCAGTCCAAGGCCCAAAGTCAGAGCTATTCTGGAAGGCCACTGGTGTAAGTCACAGAGTCCAAAAGCCAGAGAATTTAAAGTCTGGTATCACAGGGCAAGAAGAGTAAAATCTTCCTGCTTCAGAAGATAGAGAGAACAAAAAGAGAGCATCTCTTTTTTTCTGCCTGTTTGTATCAACCAGGCCCCAGCCGATTGGATGATGATGATGCCCACCCAGATTGAGGGTGGGTCTTCTTCTCTTAGTCCACCAACTCATAAGTCAGTCTCCTCTGAAAGCATCCTCACAGACACACCCCAAAATGATGTTTCACAACCCATCTAGGCATCCATCAAACCAGTCAAGTTGATACTTAAAGTTAACCATCACAGTGAATTTGCAGACTGAACTGCATCTCAATACACTTGCAATGAAAAATCAAGAAATAAAATTTAAAAGCAATTTCATTTACCATAAAATAAAAAAACTATCATTATATTTATAAAAGAAATACAAAATATATGCAGATCTGAAAACTACAAAACATTGTCGAAAGATCAAATAATTGAAAAAACATCTCATGTTAATAGACAGGAAATCTTAACATTGTTAAGATGGCAATACTCCACAAGTTGATCTACAAATTCAATGCAGTCTCTGTCAGAATCCTAGTTGAATTCTTTGTAGAAAAAACTAGGCAAGCTGATTCTAAAATTCATATGGAGGATACACTTAAAGCCCAGACCAAAACTACTTGTACCCTCCAATGCTATTGAAATAAAAGAAAAAGAAAATTTATAGGGAAGTGCAAGAAACCTTGAGTGGTTAAAACAACTTGGAAAAAGAAGAACAAAGTCAGAAGATTCATAATTCCTGATTTCTAAATTTACTACAAAGTGACAGTCATCAAGACAGTGTGGCCCTGGCACGAAGATAGATACATAGATCAGTGAAACTGAATTGAGAGTCCAGAAATAAAACAATTCATCTATGTTCAACTGATTTTTGACAAGGGTGCTGAGACCATCCCATGGGAGAAAGAATCGTTTTTCAAGAAATTGTTCTGGGACAACGTGGTAGCCACATGGGGAAGAATAAAGTTGGACCCTTATCTCACACCATTTGCAAAAATTAACTTAAAATAGATCAAAAATCTAAATGTGACAGACAATGTATGAGTATGAAACACTTAAAAGAAAATATAGGGGTAAACCTTCTATGAATATGCTAAGAATCATTGAATTGTGCACTTAATTAATTTTTATATTTTAATTTATTTTAAAATTGTGGAGTACAAGTGAGGATTTGCTACAAAAGTAAGTTGCATGAAGGTGAAGTTTAGGCTTCTGGCTGACCCTCTATCCCCCAATACTGGACCCAGTACCCAGTATGTTGCCACATGTTCCCCCTCCCTCCTTGGGTTTGGTAAAGGCATCTTAGATAGGGCACTGAAAAAAATTAAACAAATTGAAATTCATTAAAATTGAAAACTTTTGTTCCTCAAAGAGCTCTATTAAGAAAGTGAAAAAACAACTCACAGGATGAGAGAAAGTATTTGAAAATCATATATCTGATATGGGGCTTATATCCAGAATGTATGAAAAATCCTTACAATTTAAAAATCAAAAAGAAAAAGAGTACAAATTTTTAAATGGGCAAAGGATCTGAATAGGTATTTCTCCTAAGAAGATATGCAGATGGCCAACAAGCATGCGATAATATTATTGATGTCATTAATCATTGATGAAATACAAATTAAACCACAATGAAATACCATATCACACTCACTAGAAAAGCTAGAATCAACAAGTGTTGCCATTAATGTAGAGAAATCAGGACCCTCATATACGCTGGTGGGAATGTAAAATGGTGTTGCTGGCTTGAGAAATAGTCTGGGAGATCCTCAAACATTTAAACATAGAGTTACCATATGACCCAATAATTCAATTCCAAGGCAGGTACCCAAGATAAATGAAAACATATGTCCACACAAAAACTAATTTATGAGTGTTTAGCTCAGCATTATTTATAATAGCCAAAAGATGGAAGCAACTCATGTGTACACAAGATGATGAATAAACAAAACGTAGTATACCCATACGATGGAATATTATTCAGCCATAAAAATTAATGAAGTATCAAATACATGCCACAATGTGGATGAACCTTGAACTCATTGTGCTAAATGAAAATATCTAGCATAAAATAAAATAATAAAATTACTATTATAAAATAAAATAATAAAAGGCCACATATCGTATAATTCCATTCATATGAAATATTCTGAACAAGGAAACTATATAGAGGGTGTATTTGAGATGATTGGATAATAGATATGGGGTATGGAGTGTTTTGGAAGTGATGAAAATGTTCTGTCATGATAGTTGCGCTTGTCTATGAATATACTAAGAACCATTGAATTGCACACTTTATTTTTTATATTTTATTTTATCTTAGAGTTGTGTGGTACAAGTGAGGATCTACTACATAAGTAAGTTGCATGCAAGTGAAGTCTGGGCTTCTACCTAGCCCACTCACCCCCTGATAGTGTACCTGGTATCCAGTGTGTTGCCACGTGCCCCCCCTTCTTCCTCCCTCTCCTTCCCAACAGTGTCCAGCATCTGATGTTCCCACCCTTGTGTGACCAGTAATCAGGGATCACTTATGAGTGAGAATATGTGGTATTCAGTTCTTTGTTTCTGTGATAGTTCACTTAGTATGATGTTCTCTAGCTGCATCCATGTTGCTGCAAAGGCCATGAGTTTGTTTTTTTCTTTATGGCTGCGTAATATTCCATCACATATATGTATCACATTTTCTTTAACCAGTCCACTTTTGATGGGCATCTGGTTGGTTCTGTGGTTTTTTTTTTCTGTTGTGAATAATGCTGCAATGAACATGTGTGTGGAGGTGTCTTTTTGGTAAAGTGATTCATGTTTCTCTGTGCATATTTCCAGAATAGAGATTGCTGGATAGTAAGTTCAAGTTTTAGTTCTTTGAGGAATCATCACACTGCTTTACACGAAGGTTGAACTAGCTTACATTCCTACCAACAGTGTCAAAGCATTCCATTTTCTCCATAGCCATGCCAGCACTTGTTTTTTGATTTTTTTTTTTTTTTTTTTTTTTTTTTTTTTTTTTTTTTTTTTTTTTTTTTT